AGACCTTATGGGTAAAGATTAAGTTTTAAAAAGAAGGATTTCATTCTTCCTTCTAGAGTAGTACCAAAAATGTAACTTAGAGAGAGTGTGCATACTCTCTCTATTTTTTCATTCTTTAGAAGATTACTTGCACCTTTTATGCTCTCTTTGTGTTCTAATTTTGATAAGAACATAAAACTTAAGAGTTAGGAGTTTTAGAGTAGCATCTACATCATGTTGGCTTCTTGTTGGTTTCTCTAAAGTTGGTGATTCTTCATCAACTTTCAAGCGCCCCAAGAGGATCTAAAGAACTACAAATGTTGTTGTTTGTTCTTCTTCTTCTTCTTCTTCTTCTTTGGTTGAGTTTGTTTTCTTTCCAAACTTTGCAAGAAGATACTTGGTGGCTGAAACTTGTTTATGCTATTAAGAATTATTAAGTATTCCATTGCTAAATACTATGCTTTTGAAACTAGTTTTTTAATAAAAACCCTACAACAAAAATATGGTGTACACCATAGGTTTGCAACACCTTATCATCCAAAAACAAGTGGGCAAACTGAAATAGCAGATAGGACACTACAAAGAATTCTAGAAATTCAGTAGGAAGTAATAAAAAGGTATGGCTCGACAAGATTGATGATGTATTGTGGGTGTTTCGAACCGCTTTTAAAACTCCAATGGGTACTACGCCTTATAGGCTAGTATTTTGTAAAAATTATCACTTACCAGTGGAAATCAAACATTAGGCATTTTGGGCATTAAAGACTTGTAACTTTGAATTATTCGAATTGTATACTAACCATTTGATGAATATGAATGCCTCAGAGGAGTTAAGAAATGAAGCATACATTAACTCTATGATTTATAAGGACATATCAAAGAAATGGCATGAAGCTAGGTTAAGAGGCAATACGTATTTTGAGTTTGGTCAAAAGGTCCTACTCTTGAACTCAAGGATAAAGCTCTTCCCAGGAAAATATAAGACACGTTGGTATGGGCCATTTGTGGTCAAAGAAACCTTTCCACGTGGAGAAATTGAGCTGTACAAAGGAGGTTGGACAACGTTTAAATTCAATGGTCATCGCGTAAAGCAATACGAATAAGGAATGACAAGGGAAGATACGGAAGGGGAGGACGTGGTCTTGGAAGAAACCATTGCAACGTAGAGCAAGAAGTAGTCCAACTTAAGTCTCCTAAAAAAGAAACACTTAAGGGAGGCAACCCGCAATTTGTATTTTTTTTCGTTTTACTTTTGTGTTTTATTTTATTTCTTTCTTTTTAGTTTGTTTTTCCAAGGATTTTCACTCTTTCACTAGTTTTCATTGATTGTTTCTCTAAGGGCACGTAACAAACAAGTTTGGGTTGTGGTGAATTTTTGTTTGAATTTTTTTTCTAAATTACAGTAGCCACGGTGTGGATGAGCTGTTCCCATGCTCTAGGCTACAAGAAAATTCCGGAAATTGCAAAATTTTAAAACGTAACGGCGTGGCCTAAAGCACCACAACGTGGGGCCGATTTTTACGCAAAGGTTTTAGTTTTAAACCCTAATCGTTCATTTCTCTAATTTTTTACGACTTTCCCCATGTCGTCTCCTCCCCTCTATAGTAGTTGTCACATTTCTCTTCATTTTTCTTTGATTTTAACTCATTTCATCCGCAAAGGTTAATGATTTATCACTTTAAGCTACTTATTACTTCATAATATCTATTTTCGATGCTTTGATTAAAGTATTATGTCCAATTTCAAGAAGTAGACAATTCTAGGGTTTATTACTTAGGTCAAAACTTGCCCGATTTCGACAGTTTTTTGTGGCTTGATTCATGCTTAGTAGTCTCGAAATATCCCCTGAATAAAACCCCTTTGATTAAAATTGGATTACAACAGGAAATTGTGCTCGAATTGGATCGGCTTTTCTTTATTGTTCATATGTCACGTCATGGCCCTGGGTGACCACGTCATGGGTACTAGGTAGGAAGAACAATAATTTTCCTTTCTTAATTTTATGATGGGTGGTCTATTGGTGGATATGTTTTGTTGTTTTATTTTGTAGGCATGCGATCCCGGAAGCAACTATCACAAAGGGAATTCCCCTTGGTGCAATTTTCCAGAAGTTGTTGCACATAGCGTTTATTTGGAATGGAAAAACAAATAGGCCTGGCTACATACAAATGATTTTTAAATCCCAACAATTTTTTATTGGATTTGGATTCAAGTGGTAGGGCTTTTGTGTAACGACCATAAATTTTTCAACAAATTTTAACTTTTCAAAACAACCCAATTACTTTAAGTTTTTACAAAAAGGTTTTCAATTCATTTATTATCAGAGTATTCCCAGAAACATAACATAAAACATAAACACGAGGAGCGGTACGATCATACCTTCACCTTGCCACGGTCTCCTGAAGAACCTAAAAAACATTAAACCACAACTGTAAGCCCGAAAGCTTACTGAGATACCCCCAAAATACCAAACACATATACCATACACATATAACATGTCATATCATAACCGATCACAGAACAGCCATGCATATCGGGTCTACTGTGTGACTGGTCCGCTGTATCGGGCCTTAAGTCCACCGGGTCCACCCTCCGAGTCTAGTCATGTCCCTCGAGTCTGCATATGGTTGGTCCGCCCGCACTGGGCCTTCAACCCACCTGGTCCACTCTCTGAGTCTACAATATGACTAGTCCGCCCGCATCGGGCCTTCAGTCGACCTGGTCCACTCTCCGAGCCTCGGCACATCTGGTCCGTCCTCGTGGGGCCTACAGCCTATCCGGACCGCTCGTTGGGCCTTCGGAATAACCGGTCCGCCCTGGGTATGTTGGCCGATAGCACAAAGCAGGTCCCGCCTCAACCCAACTCCAGTCCAAACAACCATGTGCACATAAACACATAATCATATAAGAGTTCACAGTCAACAAGCCGATCAAACAGATCACATAACATATCATCATCCTAACCAGGATACCGACCTAACCGGTCACTAGCATATACCATCCTAACTACCAGGATGGAAACATATCAAAGCAATAGCATAACAACAAATACCCGGATCTCAATTCGATAAAGGGCCGACCTTGGTGCCTAAGACCCTGTTGATATAGTGAGGATAACTCACCTCGTGATTGCCGAAACTCTGAAATGAAGAAGGAGATTCCTGAATCACCGACTCACCTCAAATCCCGAACTAGCCAACATAGCACAAATAAACATTAGGCCAAGTACAATATTCTTCCAAGGGTAAATTGACCATTTTACCCTTAACTTAATCCGGCCCAACACTAGGTAGGCTCCCAAGCCCACCAATGGCCCAAGCTCCAAATCTTATACAAAGCCCAATATTGGCCCAATTTACTAAATTGGGCCCTCCTCACCAAATGGGCCTAGATCCAAGGTCCATAACAATAATCAGGCCCAAAATACTCTATCCATAAATTTCCAGTCATGGCCCATAAACCAACAACCCACAAACGACCCAAACTCTAAGGCCCAACATGGAAGTCCAATAAGGGGAAGTACGCTAGGCGTACCCTCCTTGGTACGCGGGGCGTACACGTTGATTCGCAACTAGGGATCAGGGCCCTGACCCGCTACGCGGGGCGTACTACTATGTTACGCGGGGCGTAACTTTGCTACTCATTAAGTCCTTATAACTTCTTAATGGCTTAAGCTATTAAGCCCAAACTTCAGATCCCTAGGCTAAATATGCCTAAGATTGATAAAGTCTCAAACTTTATCACTTGGGACGTCCATAAAGCTCTTAATCCATGGTCTTAATCCATTAAGACCTATATATCTCACACATGGAACAACCACAACCCTTGGGACCTCATTTTTCTCACTCAAGACCTCTCCTAAGGTTTGAAAGGACAGATAATCTTAGCCAACACAATGCATGATTCAAGATAAGGACTTTTGGGACAAGAATGATGCCAAAACTTCACAACACTTAGATTTATGCAAAATAATTGAGAAGCAAGAAGCGTTATACCTCAAATAAGCTTCAAAGGATGACATCTCTCCAGATCTACAAGCTCCAATCGTTCCTCTCCTTCTTTGACAACTTCTCCTTTCTTCTTCTAGCTTCTCTTTTGCCTAAATGAGCTTTCCAAGACCAAACACACACACAACCAAGGAGGTGGAACGGCTATCTTAGGGTTTCTGAGGTTAAGAGAGTGATTGTGGAGGATAAGGAGGAAGCCTTTATGTTCTATATATAGTGGTTGCCTTAAAATTAGGGTTTTGGGGATTCTGAGAGTACGTTGGGCGTACCTCTAGTATGCTGGGTATACTCACCCAAACACCCGTGTTTCTTTCCTCCACTATGTTGGGCGTACGTCCAGCTTACGCTGGACGTATCCAGCATAATCCCTTTTTCACTTTTCCCCTAAAAGGACCAACATCATCCTTTCTCTTAAATCTCATGGACACATACACAAATACTTTAAGAACGGGGCGTTACATTTTGGAACAAGTCGATCCATATTTAGCTAAGCTATTTTTGCAAGACAGAGTACGAGTTAATTGCATGAGATGGAGGCATTTGTTTAGGATACAAAAATCGGTATACGTTGAACTTTGCATGGAATTTTTCACTACAGTTAATGTCATAAAGCAGGATGATTTCAATGATCCCAAAAAGTTTACCTTTTGTCTCGGGGGACAAAGAAGGGTGACTAGTCTTGTCGAGATCACATGGTGTTTAGATCTGTACAGTTGATCAGTTGCAACATATACTGAGTTCGTTGTTTTCTTAGAGCATTATCACAAATGACTTTCGACTGAGGTTATTGTATCTAGGTGTTGGAGTGAGATTGCTAATGGGTCTTAGACATGAGGGACTGCAAATGAAGGAAAAACCAAAAAGGTCATGCATCGATTCATCCATCGGTTAATCACATTTTCCATCAACTAGAAGAAGGTGGGGGACCGAATTCCTTTCATGGATGTGTTTTTTTTGTGGTGTATCATTACACCTAATGTGTTATTTCACCTCCTTTACTGTGTAGTAGACTTCATGACAGTGCGACCAGGGAAGAGCAAACCAAGGGCTCCGATTTATGGTGGTATGTTGGTCACCAAATTGGCCAGATCTTATGGGGTGTTTGATGATCCTGGGGTTGAGTTTCTGAAATGGAAGGAAGGCCACCCATTTCAGCCACGTTTATTCAAGAGTGCTATAATAGTGAAGGATATGGGAAATAACACTTATTCAGTGCCGGTGGATGATGAGGTTGTGGTTGCAGCAGGTCGCTAGAATGTGAGGTCGAGGGTCAAGGATCGGGATCCTCAAGATGCACATGTGGGTGACGAGCTACCTATGGATCCATATCACGTTATGGCTAGACTGTATGATGATTACCTAGTCCAGGGCATGAACTTTATCGAGTACTCCATCTAAGCAATGATGCACCACCTACAATCAGTGCCCCCGAGTGGAGCACCTTCACACTACACTTACATACCATATTGGGAGGAGCATTGGGCCGAGAATAGAGGAGGCATGGGTACTAGTGGGGCTAGAGATGGAGATGATAAGGAAGAAGAGTGATTATCCTTGATTTATGTTTATTTATGTTTGGTGTGATTTAGACTATGTTTGTTTTTGTTTTTGGTGTGTTAGGATTTTCGTAACTTAGGATTATGGTAGTATTTATTTAATGTTTTTCTTTTTATTACATGATTTTATTTTTTGTTTCCTAGAAATAATGCTCGCATTAAGTTCAGCGGGTTGATAAGAGAGTACGATTTTGTTTCCTACGAAACATTCGAGAGTTTAAGTAAGGGGTACGACATGTGATCGAGAAGCGTTTTTTTTAGAGAATTTTGGAATCTTATCAACGTAATAACTAAAGAATGTGATCCAACATCAGATCATAAGGATATGGCATCTCGAGATTACCTTACATCATCTAAATTTGTAATGGACAGAAGGATTCATTTTCTGAATTCCCGATAGCCACGACGTGGTCATGAAGATTTCATCGATTCAGGCTGACATTATTTGAATGCAAAATGGCTACGCTCTACCACGATGTGCAGAATCTCAGTTACACTTATTGATTATTTGTTTTACCGCCATTTAGAATCCGTTTTCATGATGCATTTCCAGATTATTCACATAGAAGTCCAAAAGTACTGTTTTCCAACAAATTTTACGAGATGTCTGATGCATTTTGAGTACTACAACATTCCTATGGTGTACATGCAACCCTAATTCTTTGGATCTAGGTTTTCTGAAGTTATACATACAAATAATCATCCAAAGCATAAACCCTGATACTAGCATACCAATTTTGAAATTCATATGTAAACTAGGGTTTGGAACCTTTCCTCACTTGTTATGTAGCAATAACAAGAACACCTTGACCTTTGAAAGCTTAGTGCCCCAAGTGTTGCACCTCTAACGGATTCACTAACACTCAATGCAAAGGAATACTTGGAGAGATGATATTTTCAGCCAACTTAGGGTTTCATGAAGCATTGAGGTGAAAATCCTTAGTCTTAGGGTCTATTTATACTTATGGCTGCTAGGGTTTTAGGTGGAAACCCTAATATGACTGCCTAGGCCTTATGAAACCCATGGACACCTTATATTATACCCCTTGGATGAATTCTTTATGGGCTTCCCATAGAATTTGTCCAACCTTATTCCAAGGTGATCCATCAGCCCAATTGCAATTATCAGTGATTTGCAATATCAGTCCTTAATTATTTAATCAGTCTCTTTTGACCACTAAATTAATTGCAAATTAATTCCTGATTAATATTAATTAAATGATATTATTTCCAAATAATATATTAATCATATAATATATTATTAAAACCATTCTGAGTACCAATTTATTATTCATATAATAAATCCTACTATCTTTCTCTCTCTCCATTTATCATCCTATCATGTTGCATGAGTGAAGGCAACCCAAAAGGACCATGCTTATAATCAAATCAAATACATACCAAAAAATAGTTATGGGCTTAGGCACCTAATCCAATAGTCTCCCACTTTGATAAGTCTAATAACTATTATTGCAAGTATAACTTTAGAATCTGATCTTATCAATAACCCGTCATTTTGATAACTGTCGAACTCTGATCTTATCAATAACCCGTCATTTTGATAAGGGATCAAATATTCCTCCATTCTAGATATCGTATGGACATGAGACATGGTTTATAATCATTATCTTTGTCCAAGGTTTGTTTCCTGATTTCTGATTTATGACGACCGCCTAATTGAACATATCAAATTTATCCAGGCTTGTCCAAGAGCTTCAGGTGTGATTACTAAATCATCGAGAGGCCCACAGATATCGCTTTTATCCCCTTAGGGTAAAAGGAACAGATAAAATTTGACTCATATGCTTGTACTATTTACTCATCGAATCACACACAACAATATGTTTTATGACATCAAGTCACTGATGCATTTATGTATTATCAATGCGCAATTGACTTGTAAAAAACAACTAATATGTCTCCATTTCAAGAATCTAAGATATTATCATCTCACAATCACTCGTGATAAAATCCATGAAGTGATTCAAGTGAGTGTAGGTTTAATCCAATACTCAAACTCTTATTTTAGGAGTACTAATGAATACTACAATAGACTTGTGCTATGTGTAAACACTTAGACAATATACAGTCGGATTCATGACAGTCTTGCCTCAATACCCAATTCCAAAGTATGATCGACGGTGGATTGTTTGAATAATCTTATTATTCGGGAAGTTAAAACATGCGAAGTGAAACACAAGAATAATCGAATCCAATATGGTCTCCAAACCTTTCGAATATAAATAAAACACCTTTTATTTAATCACCATATTGAATACACATTATTAATTGTATAATGTTTCGATTAATCAACTTAATACTTGAATTAAAACAATAGTTATCCCATGCTCCAAGCATGAACACTATGTTTACCTATGGTCCTTACTTTGTGAAATAGATCAATTCAACACACTTCCAATGATGCTCATTTCACAATTTCAAATCCTTATAAGTGTAAGAATACCAAATTCTTCCACTATTAAAATGTGTTAGATTCTAACATTTTACGCAATGTTCCTTCTTTAATGTCAATGCACCAAAGTCACAGAGACTTGGACAATGAAATTACAAAGTATTCCACTAGAGATTGTTACAAGACAATTCCATAGATACGAAGTCTCACATTCAAAGTACATTCCTTTGAACATCATTCTTGCATAAAATTTTCTAAACTATAAATCGATTCTTAACATCCAAACCCCCATTATGGAAACATTTCCATATTTACCATACGACAATGCATTCTTAATAGAATCCTATATATTCATAATGATGTCAATATAGTCCATTCATTACTATACTTCCAACTACCCAGAAGCGACCAATCCTTAACGAACCTTAAATTGTCTTTGACAGTTGTTTAATCATTTTAGTTAAATCCGATTCTGGTCTTTTTCCCTCTTAATGCCCTAGGTATTTGGAAAATATAAACAAGCGAATATTATAACATATGAAATCGATCCTATATCCGAAGCATATGGGATAGGATTCATAATAAAGATATGATACTTTACTAATCTCTCGTTATAACATTTTCATATATGGAACTTCCTATGTTGAAACATTTTAACATTACATTTATATATATATATATATATATATATATATCCATGACTAAGTTCGATTAATACTTCAATCCAAACTTTTAGATTCAAAGTAAAGTATAAGTTCCTCTCCTTTACTATAGCAAAACAACTTTTCAAACTCTCAAACTTTGCAAATCAAAACATTGTTTCCTATAAATAGCATTGCTAACTCACAACATCTATCATAATGATTATGCTCCCACTAGCAGAATAATTACGTCCTTACTAGCATGACACTTATGCTCCCACTAGCTTTAACATGTACCTAGACATCAACGGGACTTCCAGAAATCAATATTTATTGACTTTCTTACCAAAGTTCAGATTTCTGATACAAGATGCTTCAATAATTTTTCTAGGCTTCTCAGATTCATACACATTTCCTTAGATAGCTCGTACATATGTCTAAACTATATCAGAACTCATAGTAGTAAGTCCCAAATGTTCAGACTATTTGCTATTTCTCACAATTCGAACTATGAAGAGGGATGTCGTAATCATAATCGAATTTGAGAACGTAATTAATACAACTGTTATCTCTTTAAATCTACTAAGTGAAAGCGTTTCTTCACAATCCTTTTATGAAGCAGAGAGAAACCTTTGCCACTTAGATTTTATGGTGTATGTATTTGTATCCATGTGAATTTTTCATAACCATAAATACAAGACAAGGTTTGTGACAAATCCAAACTTGTATGGACTGAACTTGTTCAATCTTAGTTTCTTGTCACTTAGTAGTACAGAGCCTACCATTGCTTCCAGGTTGTTCGGTAGCTCACCTATACTGGTCAATGTACTTTCATTGATTACGGTGCTTTGCCTTGTGCAATTAAATGATAACTCATAGAACTCACATGCATAGTCAACTAGAATGGGCACAGAAACAAGAATGTGTCAACACGATAGGTTACAAACCTCAAGTCGTGTGCTAATAATGAACAATAGGTTTATGCTTGATTAGTTCTTGAAACTTTTCAAGACCTTTAAGACTCCCACTGACCTCTTGACATATAAGATTCTCTTGTCAAGAAACATTCCATGACAAACAAATATTCAAGAGTTAGTGTAGTTTCTTATCAAGAATGACACTTCAGATAATTGGTCTCAGTTGGTCTTTGTCTTATCCAAGACATCACAACTACCAATCTCAAATATGCAAGAGTAAGAAAACTTTTCTACTCCACATTCTATGATGTGTTATAAACCTTCTTAGGACATGTTACTCAAGGTGCAATCTTGGAGTCTGACTCTAAGACTTAATTTTGAAACGAAGTATGACTCACCCTTTTTGATTCAACCATTTCAACAATTCCCAATTCCTCTTCTTAGCCATACAAATGTACTAAGGTCTCCTTGGAGGATCAATGTTTTCAAAATCACTAAGATGACCATAAAATACGATACTTAAGTACTCTCCTTTCCTTTCAGATTGGAGAAACTTTTATATTTCTGCCTAATTGATTCTTCTTATCCGTTCTGCTATACATTGAAACTTTTTCAGTGATTTAGAATCACGCTTAATCTTGTAAGCATAACCAGATTTACTAAAGTTTTAGTAAATCATAACAAATAGTCTTATCATTCTATGTGGTGGACCTGACCAGTGCACAACAATGTGTACCAGATCCTTCAATCCTTCACTTGACTCACATATACATGTGAACATGGAATTAGTCCTAATTTCACAAAGATGAAGGTTCTCATTCATCACACAATACAAGTTGTATGATTCCAAGTTTATGTCCAATTGAAACTTAGGTGATGAGAATCTTTTATTATTTTCTAAATTTCTGACACTACCACAAATGAAAGAATTAAATCCATTCTCAATATTGCTAAAAATATATAAACACCAATTTTCACAAATTCCATCACAAGAAAATATAAGTAAATTAAGATAAAATCA